CTGTGCCAACAAGCCCTGAGGGCAGCAAGCTGGCTGTGTGGCCGGGGCTGGTGGCCACCCGTGTCCAGCATTATGATGCCTGGCTGCGGGACCGGCACAGCCCTGGCAGGGCAGGGGGGTCAGTGGGCAACCAGCCACCCCTGCAGGGGTCTCAGTCCCGACTGCCTTCCTGGATCCAGGTGGGCACTGAGCTGCACCAGGGAGATAGGGCTGGCGGCGGCTGGGGACATGGCAGCACAGTGAGTAAGGGGGACAGTGCCTGTGGGGGCTTTTCCCGCCTGGGTCCGGGGACGTGGCAGGGTGTGGGGCTGTGCTGGCAGTGGTGGCTGCACCGTGCCACTTCACAGGGCTCGGTGGCAGGCAGGGAGCCCCGACCCTGCTGCCCTTTGTGCCACAGTAATGAGATGGCAGCAGCCACTTTCCGGCACAGCCCAGGGACACGAGGGGAGCAACCGGTGCAGCGGTGCCCGGGGTGGAGGGAGACACTTGGCTGTGGCCCAGCTCTTGCGACCGGCTGGGGGGCTTTGATCTCCGCCGGTGAATTGTTCAGCTCTGGTAGCTTATCTGCAAAGAGGGAAATTAGGTTTTCGGCTCTGGCCCCACCTCCTTTTGTTTCGGAGGAGCCTGGCCACAGCCTGCCCGGCCCCGGCTCCGCCGTCCGAGCCGGGAGCACGACTGGACAGGCGGCTTGGCCGGGTCTGCACCCCTCGGGATGCCGTGAGCCCCCACGCTGCTGGGGCCCCTTGCCCATGGCCAGCTGGGCTCAACCAGGCAGCACCCGGGGTCCTGCACCCCCGGGGCCCTGCACCCCTGGGATGCAGGTAGGCAGGTCAGTGCGGGCAGGGGAGCATGGCTGGAGGACACACTGCCCAGGGCTGCCATCTGGGTGTCTGTCTCACAGTGCCCGAGGTCAGCCCTTCTGGAGCGTCACGCTGTGCCATGCCACTGTGCCCATCCCAGTGCCATGGCCAGACTGCTGAGCGCTGACCCTGGGGGCACTGACTGTCCCTGCTGCAGGCTCTTGGCCGGAGGAGGAAGAACATGACAGAATTCCTGGGGGACACCAGCATTCCCAGCCCTGAGCTGGCCCTGCACATCGGCAGCTCACTGCCCACCAATGGCACCGACACCTGGAAGAACCGCGCTGCCAGCCGCTTCAGCGGCTTCTTCGGCTCTGGAACCAGCACAGGCTCCTTCGGGCGGGTAGGTTGGATGCAGGCATGGCAAGGGGGCACGGGAGCTGCCTGCAGCTATGCTGAGTAGCTGGGATGGGTCCCCTGGGGCTCAAGCCCCCTAGTTCCACAGGCAGGGCAAAGAGGTCTGTGGCACATGCCCACTGGCCTCTGCCCAGCTGCTCTGCCCCCTCCTTCAGGAGACTGAGAAATTGGAGCAGCTGGTAAACAGGCTGCACGCCTACGGCACCTTTGGGCTACCCAAACTGCCGCCCCAGCTCCGCTTTGACCGTGACTCCTGGGAGGAGGACGGGGATGAGGCTGGGCTGGCACTGGAGGACAGCTGGCAGCAGATCATCCAGGGCACAGAGGTAGGGCTGGGGGCTGGGAGGCCATGGGGGCTCTGCTCAGCCCCTGGCACGGTCCTGACACTCAGCCTGGCAGGCCCTGTCACGCCGGCAGTGCCACCAGCAGGAAGCCATCTGGGAGCTGCTGCACACCGAGGCCACCTACATCCGCAAGCTCAAAGTCATTACCGACGTGAGTGTTGGTGCTCACACGGTGACGCTGCGCCGTACTGGGGCCAGGGGCCGAGGCTGCAGCCCACTAGCTCCCTGCTCTCTCCCCACAGCTCTTTCTCTGCTGCCTGCTGAACCTGCAGGAATCAGGGCTGCTCTGTGAGGTGAGCAGAGAGGGCTATGGGGGCCAAGAGTGTTGGGGATGACTCCTCAGCCTGGCAATGCTGCAAGGTGTGAGTGCCGTCCCCCAGCACTGCCCACCTCACCCCAATAGGTGGATGTCGAACGGCTCTTCAGCAACATTGGGGAGATCATCCGGCTGCACTGCGAGCTGTGGCGCAGCGTCATGGCCCCGGTGCTGGCCAAGGCACGACGGACCAGGGCACTGCTTGACCCCATTGACTTCCTCAGTGGCTTCAAGATGGTGAGTGGGGACCCCATGCCATTGTGGAGGGCTATGCCATGCTGTGGCCCATGGTGACCCCTCTGCACCTCCCAGTTTGGGTCCCTCTTCAAGCCCTACGTGCGGTACTGTATGGAGGAGGAGGGATGCATGGAGTACATGCGGGCACTGCTGCGGGACAGCGAGCTCTTCCGCACCTATGTGACGGTAAGGGGAGAGTGGGGACCAGGGCTGGGACCGGGGCAGTACTGGCACTGACACCTGCATGCCACAGTGGGCCGAAAAGCACGAGCAGTGCAGCCGCCTGAAGCTGAGCGACATGCTGGTGAAGCCCCACCAACGCCTCACAAAGTACCCACTGCTCCTCAAGTCCGTGCTGAAGAAGACAGATGACCCACGTGCCCGTGATGCCATTACCACCATGGTAAGGGTACGGGGGTGGGGGGCAACAAGGTTGGTCCCCCCAGCCCCTCAAACCCACTGCCAACCCCTCCACAGATTGGCTCTGTGGAGCGCTTCATCAACGACGTCAACTCGCGGATGCGCCAGAGGCAAGAGCGGCAGCGCCTGGCCACCATCCTCAGCCGCATTGACACCTATGAGGTGGTGGAGGGCAGCACAGATGAGGTAGACAAGGTAGGCTGGGCATGGTGGAGCTGCCATCCTCTGCCATGCCATGCCATACCACCCTCTGCCACTCAATGCCACCCTCTGCCACTCAATGCCACCCTCTGCCACTCAATGCCACCTTCTGCCACACTACTGTGCCAATCTTATGTCACTTCATGCCAAGCCACCCCATGCTATATCATGCCATGCCACCTTATGCCATGTTATCCCATGCACCCCATGCTGATGCTGGTGGCTCTCGGCAGCTGCTGAAGGAATTCCTCCGGCTGGACCTGACAGCCCCCATCCCTGGCACCTCCCCAGAGGACACCCGGCAGCTCCTCCTTGAGGGCAGCCTGCGCATGCGGGAAGGTAAAGACAGCAAGGTGAGGACTGCAGGGGACGGGGGGGCCTCAGCTGCAACCCCTGCCCACCTGCCCTCACTAACTGTGCCAACCAGCAACCACGGCCTCACTCTCACTCCCAGATGGATGTCTACTGTTTCCTCTTCACCGACCTCTTCCTCATCACCAAGCCCCTCAAAAAGGCTGAGCGCACCAAGGTGGTCCGGCAGCCTTTGCTGGTGGACAAGGTCGTCTGCCGAGAGCTCAGGGACCCAGGTGAGCAGCACTAGGGGTGAGGGAGTCTGCAGAGGGGATCCCTGAGACAGCTGACAGCCTCTGCCCACAGGCTCCTTCCTCCTCATCTACCTGAACGAGCTGGGGAGCGCTGTGGCTGCCTACACCTTCCAGGCCAGTGGGCAGTCTTTGTGCCGCAGCTGGGTCGAGGCGGTGCGCAATGCCCAGGTGAGGGGCACGGGGCTGGGCAGGGGACCTGCAGGTGCTCTGTGCACAACCTGGTCCTCACTGATGCCTTCCCTTTCCTAGAACCTGCTGCAGCAGCTGCGGCAGCGCCGGTGCATGGAAGAGGAGGAGGAGGAGGAGGACGGCGGGAGCGGCACCTCAGCTGCCAGTTCACCTACCATCCTCCGCCACAGCAGTGCCAGCACAGACTCACAGCAGTGGTAGGGAACGGGAGGGGGACCCTGCACACCTCTGGCCTGGCACAGCCCACTCCTCACCCTTCTGCTCCTGCAGCCCCTCTGACGGTTCCACTGAGACGCTCGCCATGGTGGCAGCAGACGGCGGTGATGAGCTCTCCTCCCCAGACTGGGACACAGGACCCTTCAGATCGACCTCAGACAGCTCCTCTGTTGGCACCAGCACCTCCATCAGCACTGGCACCTCTGCCGACACCTCCACCGGGACCCCCACTCAGGAGCTGCCTGCAGGTGCCCTGCCTGTGCCCCTGCCCCATGGCATGGCCTCCCCGACTGGTGGCTGCCGCTCGTCTTCCATCGACAGTGCCTACGGCACACTCTCACCTGCCTCCCTGCGGGACTTCAGCCAGCAGCCAGATGGGGTGGCTGAGGAGGGGCAGGAGCCCTCCCTGGCCCCCCCAGCTCCACAGCCCCCCTCACCCCGGCTGCGCCGCCAGACCCCAGTGCAGCTCCTGCCCTGCCCGGCCAGGGTGCTTAAGTCCAAGTCAGAGGCCAGCCTGCCACAGCTCCTGTCCCCCACTTCCCCAGGCCCCTTAAGCCAGAGCCACAGCCTCTCTGACCTCTCTGCTGGCTCCCCCCAGACTAGCCAAGCCCCTGTGCCCCCAGCTGCCCCTGGCAGCAGTGGCAGCTCCACATCCGAGCTCTCGGAGCCTGAGGAGCCCGTGGAGAGCCCGACCTCCCTCCCAGGGGAGCTCAGGCGTGACCCCCCACCTCCTGCCCGCCGGACCCTCTCGGACCCGCAGTCAGCACAGCACCGCAAGCTGACACTGGCGCAGCTGCACCGGATCCAGGCCACGCTGATGCTCAACTCCACGCTGACGGCCTCGTAAGCACACGCTACCTGTTCCCAAGGGGTGCCCTGGCCCTCCTGGGGGCTCCCCAGGGGCCGGGTCACAGCACTGAGGGCATCTCTCCCCACTGTGTGCCTTGCAGGGAGGTCTGAGAGCCGCTGGCATGGAAAGGACAGACACACAGATGCACCAAGGAGCTGCTCCTGCTTCTAACCATAGCGTAATGGCAGGGCTGGGCAGAGCAAGCAGTGGGATGCCACCCTGGTGGGGACATGGATGGGGATGCAGACTGGTCCCCTTGGCAAGGATGTGCTCTGGGGCGGGGCTCCAGTGCGGGGCTGGACATGGCACATGGCTTGTGCTGGACCCTTGTCCACAGAGACGAGAGTTGTGGGGCAGGGGGCCCTGGGGCCATGGGGGGCTGCGGGGGGCTGTGGGGCAGCTCCTGTGGGCGACGAAAGGATGACAATGTTGGCAGTGGTGAGTGGGAAAGATGCTGAGAGGGATGCTGTGCCAGTGGCATGGTGGGCATGGTGCTGCAGGCAGTGCAGTGAGGAGGCTGGGGCTGGTGGCAGGAGGGGACAGTGTGGGGCTGGGCTGGGTTTACCCTGTGTGGTGGCAGTAGGTGGCAGTGCCCAAGGCCAGAGTGTGAGAGTTGTGGTGGGAGCCCCCCCCCGTGCCAGGCTGCACTCCACGTCCCAGCTGAGCAATAAACCCAGCTGGTGCACGCTCGCGCCCGCCTCGCCTTTCCTTTGGCCGTGGCAGCACCCAGGTCTGGGCAGCACTGGGGTGGGTGAGGCACAGCTCAGGGAGCCCCACAGGGGCAGGCGAAGAGGGGACTGGGGCCAGTTTCAGCCTCCTGTTCCAGGACTCAGGATGGGGATGGAACCCTGGGGTGAGGGTCAACGCTGCTCCCTGCACACTGCGTCCCCTTCACCAACCCCAACTACCCTGGATTTGTGCCAGCGGGTGAGGGAGGGTGGCGCTCCTGTCATGTGGTTTCATAACCCCTGGACTCATTTCCAAAAAAGCATTTCCTCCTGCTGTGGTTGGGTGTAAAAGCCTGTGTGGGGAGGGCTGGCGCTCACTCACCACGCGTCGCGTGCTGCTGACAGTGGCCATGGCGTGCCGGGGCACCCTGCCTGGGCACTGAGCTGCCCTGACACCCAACTGCACCTGCCACCCTGGTCCCCTCACTGCCCTGGCATGAACCAGCCACATCGGCCACAAGGATGAAGTGTTGCTGCCCTGGGGTGGCTTGGGTGAGTGTGCCGGCATGCGGGTCCCATGGAGCCCTGACACCAGTCGTGGGGTGCCCAGGGCTATGGCTGAAATGGGTTTGGAGGAGGGAGGGAGGAAGATGGAGTAACTCCAGCGCCAAACGTGCCAAAAACACTTTCCCCTCTGCTAACATCTGGGACTGGTCTCTGCTGCACCGAAGCGCCCATGCTGTGGCGTGGCTACGGGGGCCACAGGCATGGCAACAGCCACAAAGATCGCAGGCACGGACACGATTGCGGTCGGGGAGAGTGTGGGCTCAGTCACGGGGCTTGCAGGTAGGGCAGTGCCACGGGGCCTGGCTGTGCCGACAGCCTGCGGGTGCGGGTAGCTCTGCCGGCGGTGGGGCTGCCCTCGGGGCTGGAGGGCGGCTGTCCCGGCACTCGGGCGCAGGGAGCACAGGCCGCGCTGTGGGCAGGAGTGGCGTTGGCGGTGGGAAACTGTGGCTGTGCCCACCCCGCAGCCGGCCATTGGCGTGCTCACCGCTGCTCTGCGCCCACCGCTCCCCTGCCCTCCGGGCACCTGCTCCCCGCGCCGGGCAGGGGCGGCTGCAGGCAGGGTGTGCAGGCAGGGTGTGCAGGCAGGGTGTGCAGGCAGGGTGTGCGGGCAGGGCCGTGTCTCGGTGCTGACTCAGACGTGCCGCTGGCAGCCGGGACTGCGGCAGCCGCCCTGCTCTGCCGCCAGCGCTCTGCGTGCGGGGCGACCCAGCGCGGTTTCCAGTCTGCCGGTGGCGACGGGTTTAGTAGAAAATGATTCAGCTGCCGTAATCGGGGCCATCACGGCTGGGAAATCCAGCCCCCAGCGAGGAATCCCCTGTTTCCCTGCCCACACTGCCAGCGCCACGGCCCTCCCGGCCCCCTGCCCTGCCCGTGGAAGGTGTGTCAGCGTGGGCACCTCCTCGCCGCCCCCACCGGGGCTGTCTGGGCAGTGGGGCTGCCCTGTGTGTAGCACCTGGCACCCCGCGGGGGAGCTGTGACCTACTTTGGGACGCACACACAAGGAGTGATAGCATCGGAGAGAGCGTGAGCCAGGCACGGCTTCCTCTCGGGGAGGAAATCACCTCCTCTGCGAGGGAGATAAACCTCAGGAAAGTTAAGCAGGCAGAGTTAACCCCTCCGCGCCTGGCTGCCTACACCTCCCTGGACCGGCAATCCGTGGCACCACCAGCAGCGTGCCCGACTCACTCGTCCCCATCCCTGGGGACACGGCAGGGGTCCTGTCGTCACAGGTGGTCGAGCTTCCGGGCACCACTCCCCAACGAGCCTGGAAGCACCCTTTGCAGAGAACACGGGGGCACCTGACAGCAGACGTCGGAGCACACGTTGTGGCACAGTGGCCCCCACAGGGCCAGCAGGAAGTGGCTTGCTCGTGTAGGGTGGGAGAGGCAGGGCACAGGGGCTGCCGCGGGGCATTCCCCGCCCTGAGCAGCACATTCGCGTAGCTGAGGGGCACAGGGCCACCGATCCAGCCATTCTGCCCTGCACAGGCACTGGTGTCCACATGGTACTGGACCTGGCTCTGGCTCCAGTAGTCCATCATATGTGGCTGGGAATGGAGCATGGTGTGAGGGCCATGCCCCATGGGTCCATGGCTCCTGGAGCACCCTAGCTGCCTGCAGCCCTGCTCTCCCTCTGCCCACAGGTGATCCTGGCAGTGCTGGGGCTGGCAGCCAGTGAATCACAGCCCCCAGGGTGGCAGAACCATACCATGCTGCGAGGACAGAGGGTCCTGGTGCAGCCACTCACCCGTCTGCAGAGACATGCCACCAGATACCCCTGCCCTGCTGGCATGAATTGGATCGAGAGTACTCACCAGTGCTGTCCCCAGTGTCCTGCAGGTGAGCTCTGCCTGGCCTGTGTGGCATGACATGGCACGCTGTGGCACCAGAAGGTGCGTTGCCCCACGTGGCTATGCTTCCTGTCACTCCACTGTCCCTGCAGGGATGTATCTGCACAAGCCCTGCACAAGCCACAACAACAATGTCTGCAAACCCTGTCCCATTGGCACCTTCCTCTCCCAGCCCAACACCTTCACCAAGTGCCAGGCTTGCTACGAGTGTGACCGACAAGGTGAGCTGGGATCACACCATGCCATGCTGTGCCATGCAGCGCAATGCTGTGCCACTCACTGCCTGCTTTCTACAGCTTTCCAGAGTGTTCTGAGCAACTGCTCGGCCACCAGCAACGTCGCCTGTGGCTGCGAGCCCGGACACTTCCGTGACTGCCTCGACGAGGGCTGCAGCGAGTTCTTATGTCGGAAGTGCCAGCCCTGCACAGGGCGCCTCATCCAGCGGCCCTGTGAGTGCTGCTGGTCTCCCTGCGGCACGACCTGCTGGCTGTGCCACCTCTGGCTGTGCCACTCTCCCTCATGCCCACCCTCTCTCCAGGCTCAGAGATGCATGACACAGTCTGTGACAGCAGCTGCAAGCCTGACTTCTACACCGAGGGAGACGAGTGCCGGCCATGCCACATGTAAGCACTGACCTTCACTGTGTCCCAACTGGGGACAGGTGTGGGGCCTGGGGCATGGCACAGTGTGGTGCCCACGGTTCCCCTCTCCTTACAGGAGCACCCTGGACACGTGCAGCAAAGAATGCCAGCAAGTGTGTGGCAGCAGCAACAGCAGCAGTCAAGGTACAGGGGTGATGGGGCTGGGGACAGTGGTGTAGGGTCGTCGTGCTGTACAGTTGATGGGAACACTCCTGCTCCTCCTTGCAGACTCAGGTCTGGAGTACATCCTTCTGGGACTCAGTGGGCCCCTCTTCCTGGGTGCCATTGCCATCTACCACAAGAGGAAGAGGCTTCGGCATGATGCCCTGGCACCTGGTCCCCTCCCCATGGCACAGGCAGCCACCTCCATGGCTGGGGCTGTGCCCACACCATGGTGCCAGTTCAGTGGCCGGGGGTGGAACAGCCTGTGCTGGACCCAGCCATGCTCTCCACAGGGGACAGATCGTGCCACTGTCACGGTGAGGCAGAGCCCCAAGCACCAGGCCCTGCTGCATGAGCAGCCCAGCGATGAGGGGGAGCCCTCTGCCCCACCAGAGCCCCGCAGTGCCCTGCTGCAGGGCAGCCAGCTCTATGCTGTCATCGACGCAGTGCCAGTACGGCGCTGGAAGGAGTTCATGCGGATGCTGGAGCTGCGGGAGGCGGAGATTGAGCTGGTGGAGCTGGAGGTGGCCCACATCCGTGACCAGCAGTACGAGATGCTGAAGCGCTGGTGCCAGCAGACCAGCGCCACGCTGGACCGTGTCTTTGCTGCACTGGAGCGCATGGAGCTGGCCGGCTGCGCGGAGGCACTGCGCCAGAGCCTGCCAGCAGGGCCCTAGCCCCCAGCGTCACCGCCCTGGCACTGGGAGGTCCTGGCACCTTCACATCTCACTGGGTGCCTCGGCTGTGCCATACCCCTAAGTATTGTTACTTATGCCGTGTAGACATTTTATGTCACTTTTACATCCCCTTCCTACCCACTGCCCCCCTCTATTTATGTCCCCCTGCTCCCAGGGCTGGGAGGGACCCCACACCCAGGCAGTTTGGCTGCCTGGCCACTCGCGGGACGAGTGGGCACCGAGCCCACTGCAAACCCATGGGACAGTTCTCAAGGCTGCCCGCTGCCGGGCGTGCCTGTCCTCACCCCAATAAAGTGGTGTGTTTTCCATCTGCTGGCCCCTGCCCTTCCTTGCAGGGCTGCACCGGCCAGACACTGAGGCAATGCTCAGGGCCACCACTGGTGACGTGACCACCACAGGTGATGGGTGATGTGGGTGCTGGCAGAGATGCAGGTGGTGTGGGTGATGGGGATGATTGTGGTGCTGTGGATGAGGGGGGCAGCACGGTGGGTGAGCATGGTGTTGGGACAGGGGTGGTGTGGGCAGCCCCAGGAAGGCGAGGGGCACTGCTGGCAAGATTTATAGTTTTAATTGCTGGAAAGGCAGGTGGTCTGAGTGGAGATGAGCCAGGAGCCAGCCTCAAGTGGCTCTGGAGGGGCAGGAGTGGGGGTGAGCGTGCTGCAACAGCGAGCAGTGCCGGTGGGGAGCGCAGGGAGCTGGGCAGCATGGCAAGCCCAGCTGCAGTGGCCGAGCCGGGCAGCGCACAAGGAGCCGTGTGCCCTACCCCATGGCAGTTCACTTTGCAAAGGGCAGCACGGGGTGGTGGTAGGCTGGTGACAGTGGGATGGAGACTATGGGTGCCTGGGGAGGTGGTGGGGACTCCTCTGGGTCGGGATATGTGGCCATCCATGGCGGGAGGAGGGTGCCGAGGCACGTTGTGGTCCATCGGGGGACCCGCTGGCCTCCTCCCGCCGTGAAGAGCCAGGCGTGGCGTGGCTAGTGCTTGGCTATGTCCCCCTTCTTGAGGATGATCTGTCGCTGCCAGGGCGCCAGCTTTGTCTCATCGTACCCGAGAGTCCTTAGCTTTTCTGACTGCTCCTTCTCCTTCTCCTCCTCCTCCCGCTTCAGCTTCTCCTGCTCTTTCCTGCTCAGCAGTGGAGGGCACGGGGCGCCGCGGTCACCAGAGCCGCCAGAGCCACCGTGCCCGCCCGCCCAGGGAAAGGGCTTGTGGCACTCACCGTTTCTGCTCCCTGTGAAAGCAAAGGGAAGAGTGGGGTTAGCAGAGCTTCAAGAGTGACCAGTGGGTGCAACATTCCCTGTCTGCAGCTCACCTCTCTTCCTCCAGCTTCTTACGCAGGATGTCCCTCCTCCAGGCCGGCATACTGGCCAGACGCGCCTCCTCCTCCTTCTCCTGCAATAAACAGGTGTGTTACTGGCGCTGCTGGGAGCCCACCCTCGCTGCTACCATGGGGCCACAGCATCATCCTGGTGGGTGACATCACATCCTTCTGGTAGCTGGGCTGAGCCATACTCCTGGCATGGTGCTGGTGGGGTTCACCACCACGCAGCTCGCCGACGCGCCCCTTGCTGCCCACCCTCCACCGGCGCGGGGAGGAGGAAGGAGCATGTGGCGTGGCCAGCCTTTGCAGCACACCACAGCTTTATTGCACGACACGCGGGGGCCCACACTGCCCCAGCACCACAAATGCCACGCCAGAGGGGAGCGCAGCCCCGCTGCTGCATCTCCCACACAACACACAGCCACGGCAAGCGGCACACTGCAACCTCGACCCGGGGCCACACAGAACAACACCCAGCCCTCTGCCAAGCTGAGCTGCACCACGGCACTGCCAGAGCCACAGAGGCAGCCGAGCACATCCGGCCACCAGGTCCTGCTGCTCACAGCTGCCCCCTGAGCCTGTTCCTTCTCCCCGTGCCACACTGCTGGTACAGCCCACAGCATCTGCTGGACTCAGGTGTCAGACATCTCTGCCTCCTTCTCCTTCCAAAAGGAGAAGCTGCGGTCGATGAAGCGGCAGACGTCTTCCTCGCTGAACTCGCCCAGCTCTGGCACTGGCACCGGCACTGCTGCCACCTGCCCTTCTGGGACCACGGCAGGGGGTTCTGGCAGGCTCTCTGCCACTGCCACAGGGTTATCGCCAAAAAACTCTTGCACAAGGTCCTCAAAGCCATCAAGCCAGTGTCGGTGTCCAGCCTCGACCCGCTCCAGCACAGTGCGGTGGAAACGGCGGACGTGGTGCCAGCTGTGGCTGCCCAGGCGGTCAAACATCTCATAGCAGAGAAGGTGACGGAAGCGCCGCTCCTCAGGGCTGAGTGGCATCTCCAGCAGCTGGAAGTAACCCAGCATGAAGAGGTCGAGTGGGAGGCTGTCGTGGGGCATGGGTGAGCCACTGACATGGGGCAGGAAGTGTTGGGGCCAGTACAGCACTGTGGTGCGGCTCAGCCGCCGGATCTGACGCCCTGGCACTCGGCGGGCGACACTCCTCCAGCGGGCCAGCAGCCGCCCTGCCGCAGGCCGCCGCCTCCCTGCCCGCCGTGGCCGCTCCTCCCCAGGCACTGCTGCGAGTGCCCGCTTCTTCCAGTGCTCCAGGAAGAGGAAGACAGCGCGCTCCTTGCACCCCTTGGTGTGTTCGCGTGGGCTGCTCGGCTCTGGCAGCGCTGGTCTGCTCTGCCGTAATGCCCCATCCCCATACTCCTCCTCCAGGATGGGCTGGCGGGTGCTGCCAGGCGGCTGCACCCACTTGCGCTTGGTGACCCTGGGGAGAGGTGGGGAGGGCTCCCCCGGCCCCTCGTAGTTGGCCTTGAGGCTGCGGACAGAGACACCGCAGCCCAGGATCTCACGCTGAACATCATACTGGGCACTGGGGCTGCCCACTGCCCCCTCTGCCCTGGGGGCTTCCTGGCCCCTCAGAGTGGCTGGTGGCACAGCCGTACTCCTCAGCAGTGTGGGGGACTGGCTGCTGCGTGCAGGCACGTCCTCACGGGCGAGGGCAAAATGCCGGGGTGCCGGGGTGGCGGACAGTGGCACAAATGGTGGCAGCTCCTCCTCTGGCTGCCCCAGCAGCGACTGCCTTGGCTGCACCTCGTGCATCACCCGCAGGCTCCCCAGCTGCCTCTCCAGGTGCTGCATGTCCTCCTCCCGTGTCAGCTGCCCGGCAGGTGCTGGCATGCCCCCGCAGGCAGGTGGCCTGCGCCGGCACAGCGGTGGTGACTGGGTCCCGGGCTGCGTCGGGAAAGAGGGCAAAGGGGCTCTTGAGGCTGTGCCACATGCACTTTGTGCCACCGCCACCATGTGTGGCATCCCCAGGTGTAATGCTCCTGCATGCAGGTGGGGTGGTCCCCCCCAGACCAGCTGGAAGCTGGAGGTGAAGCCACACACACCATTTCACCAGGTCCCGAGCTGCTTGGGCCATACCCACGCCGCGCTCGCCACCGCAGCACGTGGGACCCCCCTACCTTGCGCCGCTGCTCCTCTTCCTCCTGCATGCGGAGCTGCAGCTTGCGCACCATCACCTGCCGCTTCCACTCGGGAATGGGCCGGCCCTGCTCGTCCTGGCTCGGCACCAGCGCCTCCACCTCCACCGCTGCCCCAGCACCTGCTGCTGGCACCGGTGAACTCCCATTTAGCACTGGCTCTGGCGAGCCCCCTGCCAGGCAACGTGGTGGCCCGGCAGCCTCGGGGGTGGCTGGTGGGGTGGGCGTCCTGGTGGGTGATGGGGAGGACACTGGCGACTCTGCCTGTGGAAGGAGGGAGGGAGGGTGGTGGGCATTTGCCATGCTGTGCAGCACTGTGCCACTGGCTCCCCAGGCCCCCATCACCACCTACGTTGGCCCCTGCCTGGCCGCTGCCGGAGAAGACAGTGGTGAAGCCTTTACTCTGTGGAGTTGGCTTGAGGCTCTTCCCAGCCTTGATCTCAGCCAGCAGCTCTGAGTTGTCACCGGTGGGGGTCATCATGTTGAAGGACTTGGTGCCTAAGAGGAGGCAGAATGAGCATTAAGTGTCCTGCCAGCAGCAGCTACTGTCCCCCTGAATCCCCCATCTGTTTTCAGGGCACAGGGGTGGAGGGGTGTCTGCACCCCCACCATCCAGGAGCCCCTGGGACCTCACTGAGCAGCATCTCAACACCCAGATCATTGAGTCCATAGGAACAGCTCCATGTCATCCAGCTCCTGGGTCCATGGGACCCCACTGGAGCAACCCCGCAGCACTCAACAGCCTGTCACCCTAGCTCCCTAGATCCATAAGACCAGCACTCCAACACCAGCTTACTGGGTCCATGGCACCCTGCTGGAGCAGCACCCCAGTACACCAACACCCAGCTCCAGCAGCCCCAGCCCTGAGTGCCACCCCCTGCCCCTGAAGCACTGTGCTGTGTGTGACAGCAGTGACCTGCCTCTGAAGGGATGACTCCATGGCCAGTGGCAGCCCTGACACTGCAGGACAGCCCTACATTCCCCTGCAGCCCCCATCAGCGATGCACTGACAGCCCAAGGCACCCCCACTTCCAGCCCGGAGCCCAAAGGGCTGCGTGGCACCAGCACCCTGGGGATGCTCATGCCACTGCTCACGCCACCCGCCCTGCGAACACCCACCGTCTGTGCCAGCCATGCGTGGGTCCCTAGCAGCCCATGGTGCCGTGCCAAGGCAAAGCCCCTTCCCTGCAGCTGGTGCCCACAGCTTGCCCCCCTCGGCTGCACCACGCTGGGGCCAGATGGCTGCAGGTGTTGAGGGCCCAGCGGGGCATGCACGCTGCCATCCAGTGCCGGCTGAAACCCCCCAGCCCCAGGAGCCGGCGCTAATAAAGCGGGTGCCGAGCGATGGCCAAGCCCGCCGGCTGTGGTCAGCAGCGGGGGAGCGGCCGGTGTGCTCACGTGGAGGGGTCACGCTGGCCGGCTGAGCGCAAACAAAGGCCCTCTGTGTGCGGGGCCGCGGGGGCCATGGGGCCCCTGCTGCCAGCCCAGCCGTGCCAGCCCTGCCTGGTGGCTTCGGCAGCCCCGCACCAGCGCTCAGCCTCCCGCGTGGCACCGCTGGCCACCGACGCGCAGCGAGGGCTTGGCAGCAGGAGGGCTGCGGGCAGTCGCTGGTCCCAGCAGCCGTCAATGTCCTGTGGCTGCAGCACAGGACTCTGCTGGGTCAGGCCCCTCTGGCTGTGCCTCGTGCCAGGGCACCCCCTGAGCAGGGAGGAGCGCGGGGCCGCGGTACTTACTCTTCATCTGCCTGAGCGCCTTTCCTCCTAGGGAGAGAAG